AACAAAAACAATGGAATACTACTCAGCAGTAACAAACAAAAAAAAAAGAATGAAATTCTGCCATTTGCGACAACATGGATGGACCTGGAGGGTAAATAACTCAAACAGATAAAGACAATACAGCATGAGTTCACTTATATGTGTGGTCGCCAGAGGTGGGGGATGGAGGGATGGGTGAAAATGGTGAAGGGGGATATAGTCACTTATAGTGTGATAAGTTGACACGGTGACAGATGGTTGGTTACTGGACTTAGTGTGGTGATCACATTGTAAGGAATAGAAATGTCAAGTCACTGTGTTGCACACCTGAAAACTAATATAATATTGCATGTCAACTATACTGTAATAACAACTGTTTAAAAAGCAGGCTACATGTCCACACTTGGGGAGCCATCTGGAGGACATGGTGGCACTTTGATGCTAGGAAACTACACAATTGTTATGCATGACAGTGTAGAAGTATAATTATAATCACATATTTATGATATTTTTCGAGTAAGGAAAGTGGGCTGTGGAAACCACAGAATTACATTTTGTTATTGAATACGCATAGCAAAAGGCGAGGAAGGATATACTTCAAATTATTAGTTAATGGGGAAATTAGGAAATGGTTTTTATTTTCTTTCTTTTGTAAACCTGTAGGTTCTGATTGTTCTATAATGTATATGTTTTGCTTTTGCAATGAAAAAAAAAAGTCAACTATAATGTAACACCCTCAAGAGCATTGCCTGCAGTGGTGACATTTACAACTTGTAATTATGCACATTTTTGTTTCTGGAACAATTGAGTCTCCTCTCCCAGGCTGTAATTCTCGGGGCTCATCAAACACGGAGCCCTTCTTCCCATGAATCTAGGAACTTAACATTTTTATTTTCTGCAGAAGCAGCAGTTGGTTGCCCACTGAGTCATCACACTGTGGTGCCTCAGCACCAGTGATGCCATGAGAATACAGTGAGGTAGCTTTGAGCCTTTTTGTTGTTGTTGTAATCTCTCATCAGATGGGAAGGGCTGGTTGGAGTTCCATCGGATTTGGAGGGACATTGGGACGGTCTGACTTGGGGGTTGCACCCACTTGGTGGGGGTATTGGGGCAGTGCCGTAGACCAATTCCAGCATGTCATAATTTTAAGAGTTTCATCAAAAGGTTGATGAGACTTGGGGACTCAACAGGGTTGAGTCACACATAGTCACCTGTTGGGAATGGCTAAAGGCATTTCCCCAAACCTGAATAGGAAACTGATTGTGGCTGCCAGTTAAAGGGCATCTTAATCTACATGTTATTGCCTCCTACTGGCCAAACACCTGAACAGCTGTAGGCTATTCCCCAAACTGACAATGCCTCTGTACCCTTTGAAACCTTACCCTTTGAAGTGTATTATCTCCACCTTGCCTTAGGACAAATTGTGTGAATAAAAGCAAGGGTCCTAGACAAGGAGGGAGTCTTCAGTTCCTTTACCTGAAGGTCCTCTGACCCCCAATGCCTTTCAAAATTATATCTCGTCTCCGGACTCTTTATTAGTCTCTGGATTCCTATGTCATCTACGCACAGCCCCTTTTCCAGATTCCTGAACCCTTCTTGATGCTGGACAAGAACCCTGGCAGGGCAGGAGATCCAAGGAAATGTTCTCCAGGGGTTCACCAAGAGGCCACGCGTAGTAAGGCGCTGTGGACAGAGTCAGCATGCTGTGGCGTCTAATGGGAGTCACCAGGGAGATGCTCACTCAGGGCAGCTGTTGAAGAGCATTTGAGCTGCTACTTACGTGGGCAGCTCACCAGCAGGGCCCTCCTTGGGTGAGGGAGGCAGGGGTGAGTCTACTTAATGATGGTCAGGGATTCCAGGTAGTGGCATCATCTACCTGGGCTGGTGAGAACCCTGCTCCTCTCCCTCCCACCTGCCCTTCTCCATCTCAGTGACTTTGCCACTCACCCAGGTGCTCAAGCCAAAAATCTAGGTGTCATTCTTCAATGCCCTCTCCCTCACCCCGTACATCATATCTCTCATCAAGCTTTGCCTGGCCTGGCCAGTGTGGCTAAGTGGTTGAGTGACGACCCATGAACCAAGAGGTCACAGGTTGCAGGCTGGATCCCCAGTGAGGAGCGTGCAGGAGGCAGCCAATCAATGTTTATGTTTCTACCTATCTCTCTCCTTTCCTCTCTCTCTAAAGTCAATAAAAACATATTTTACAAAATTTTAAAAAAGGTTTTGTCTGACCTTACTTCCAAAGTACTCTTTCTTCCTGGCCTCGTCTTCACATGGACAAATGTGCCCACCTCCCCATTTATTAATGCGGTCTAACCTTGTCCCCAGACTCCATTCTCCTAATCCCAGCCTGGGGCAACTTTCATCAAGGTACAAATCAGGTCATGTCACTCTGTATGAAACAGTTCATTGCTCCTCACTGCCCTTCAAACACCATCTGCTCTAGCCCAGAAGGCCCGGGTGAGCCAGCCCCGGGGCCTTTGTCCCTGCTATTTCTTCTGCCTACGGCAGATCTTCCTGCTGCTGCCTCCCTCGGCCCAGATATCACCTCCTCAGAGAGGCTTTCCCTGGTCACACTGTCTAACCCTCAACCGTCTCATCACTGTCTACCCCACTTCCGTTTTGTTTTTCATAGCGCTGATCTTGACTGAAGTAATCTTCCTTTCGTATTGTCTGCTTTCCTGCTATGATGTGAAGCTCTAGAAGGGGTGGCTTCCCTGTCTTCTTCATGAGCATATCCCAACACCTGGAACAGTGCCTGCCCTATAGCAGGTGCTCAGCAAAGTAATTCACTTGTTCATTCAACAAACATTTACTGGGCAGATTTTCTATACCAGATTGTGCACATTTAACTCCAATGAAGCCTCACCATATTAGCTCAAGTGGGAAGGATTATCCCTGACTTGTGGGGAAGGGTTGAAGTTCCGAAAGGAAAGTGACCTGCCCAAGGCCCACAAAGCTCCTCCCATCATTACCTCACATGCAAATTGTATGCAAATGACCAGTGGCCTCCTGAAATGATGCCATGAGCCCAGTGGTCTTCAGGACCATTATCTCAAGATCAGGGGAAGGAAGGAGCCTCCAAGGGCCTCAGACTCACCGAGAAGGGGCCGATGTCTGAGTGCTTCAGTTCCAGGAGCAGCCTGTGAGAAGGGGAGGGGCAGCTGAGACACCATTTTCCTGACTCGTATGAGAATTCAGTTACTGGGGAGGAAGGGCCACTCTGGTGAAGGCTGCTTGGTTTCCCCTCCCAGTAGTCATCCCCCTTCCTCTGGTCACAGCCCCCCGGTTTTTCCTTTGGGGAAACCACCCATTCTCTACACTGTCAGTGGTGAGCTGGGGGTGGGCTGGCCAAGGGGCAGGTTCCACCTCCCTGGCCGCAGTGATTGCTTCAGGGTTGGCCCTGTGGCTCATGGCTGGCCCAAGGAGAGGTGGTCTCAGCTGGAAATATTGGCAATGAGATGTTCTTTTTTCTCCAGGGAAATCAGGGAGCTGCTGGTGACCATTTCTGTCACCACTTGGCGATAGCCTTCTGGAAAATGAAGCCAGCGTCGGGGATAGCAGAGCCAAGAGACGAGGGAGTCAGAGTCCCAAGGACATTACTTAAGCACCTGGATCCACCCTGGCCTGAAACCCTTGGACTTTTCAATTGCCTGAGCCAATCAACTATCTCCTCTTTACAGCCTTTATGGCATTTTAAATGTGATCTCAGAGAAAGGGAGAAATAAATGGCCGTTTATTGAAACCCCTATCATTCACCCTGTTGAGTACTTTGTCCCAATGAATTCCTGCAAGACCCCAAGAGGCAAGGGCCATCGCACTGGCATGTTGCAGATGAGAAAACTGACACTCAGAGAGGTCAAACAACCTGCCTGAGGCCACACAGCCAACAATGAGCATTTCTAATAAGTCCCCTGGAGGCCAACACTCTTGTCTCCATTACCTACAAAGTTTGAAAACTCACTCTTGTTCACCAAGACTTAGGAGCCCCAGGACCCCAGCCCTGTGGGTTATTTCAGAAAGTCTGTGCTCAGCCACCACCCAGCTGCGTCCTCTCCGGCTCCTGTATCTGAGAGGCCCACGGGAGCTTCAAGGAACATTAAATCCACCTGTTCCCAAAGCAGTAACACTTCTCAGAAGGATATCACAGAAATGAGCAGCATAGAGGCCTCAGGGACCCATGCCAAGGTGAAGAAGGACACCTCCGTGCCAGGGCGAAGGAGGACATGGGCAGGAGCCTGGGTCAGGACTCAGTTTAACCAGCGTGAGTGTGAGTAAGAGGTCGATGCCAGGTCTAAATGTTGGGGCCACGGCATCTACTCTCTCGGGGTGTCTTTCTTTTTCTTTGTGTCACCTCTATCCTCCCTCTTCCTCCTTTTGTGTCTCTCTCTTATGTGTCTCCCCATCTGCCTGTCTCTCTGTCTCTCATGCCGCGTCTCTCTTTCTTGACGTCTCTTCCTTTCTTCCTTTGTGTGTGTGTCCCTCTCTCTGAATGTCTCTCTTTCTCTGTCTCTCCTCCAATTTCTGTGTTTCTCTTTTTTCTGTGTCTCTCTTTTCCTTTTACTTATCGAGCACTTATTTTTATCCCTTAAAGTGTTCCAAACACAACAATACATATTAGTGACTCATTTCATCCTCACGACAATGTTGCTGTGAAGGAGCAATTCTCGGGCTTATTTTACTGCCAGGGACGTCAAAGTTTGGAAAGTCTGTTGCTTACCACGGCGAGCTGCGCTTCCAATGCAGGTGCCTGGACGTCAGACACCACGCTCACACACCTCCTCTGTCGGGATTCAACCCAGCACATGGACCCCAGTCTCCCAGCGGGGGAGGGCTGACAGGGTCCCAAGGATGGGGGTGAAGTGGGTTTTCCAAGTGCCAAGGAAGGCCGGGGGTGTGGGGTGGCGGGGGGCTGCTGTGGTTCAGTGTGGAGTGGTATCAGCCATGAGTTGGCCCAGGACTGAGAGGTGCCTGAGACGAGGGACTTTCAGTGCCCCAACTGGGACACTCCGGGCAAACTGAGATGGCTGGTTACCCTACGACGTGTGGCCTTGGGCAAGTCACTTCGTCTCTGAGTGTTGGTTTCACTGTCTGTGAAATGGGAACATTGTGCCCTCTGCACACTGTTTGAAGCTTCAATGTGATGGGTGAACGGGAAAGCAATGGCATAGTACTTGGCACACTGTAAGGTCATTGCTAGCCCATGGACCCCACGAATGAATGGGCAGCTCCCTCCCCCTGACCCACAGGTCCACTTACTTGTCCAAGCTGAGCTCTCCCACAAGCCTGTCGGACATGGCGCCGACCTCCACAGAAGCGTTCGCACTCTGCAAAACAACAACCCAGGAGGTGAGGTGCTGGCCCAAGGCCTGGGGGCTCTGGAAGGCCTCCACCGCTGGGAGGGTCAGCTTGGGGTGGGGGTGGGGGGTGGCCTCCCTTTTACTTCCTCCTTGTTGATGAGTCCTGGGCTGGGACCAAGTACCATTTTCTCCCCGGTTTCTGAGTCCATGTCTGAGTCCCAAGCTACTTGTGAGTCAGGCCATAGGCCAGCCCTATTCTCACAGCCATTCATTCATTTATTCATTCAACAAATATTTGGTGAGTTAGAAAACCGAGCTTCCTGCCTCAGCGACTCTGTGAGAACCCATTTAATCTGCAAAGTGGGGAAAAATGGGTCTCAGCTTGAGACTGCGCAGACCTGCTGCGGCCTGTGAGTGCCTCCTGGTGGGAGAAAGTCTGGCCTCACTCCCAGCGGCCAGAGTGGGTGCCTCGGAAAGTTCACGGCGCGACACAGTGATCACATGAGTGAGTGCACAAATCAACAATGGAATAAAAACTTGAATAAGTGAGGGATTGAACATACCAATGAAGGCATAAACAAAGATATGTGTGGATGAATACATAATGAATGAAAGAACAAATATACAAATGAATGATCAATTGGACAAGGGTATAAGTAAATGAATAAATGAATAATAATGCATGTATAAACCAGAAGAGATATAGCATATTTCAAGTTAGCAATCTAATGAATAATTGAATGAATAAATGAATGAACAATACACAAATGCATAAATGACTGAAGATATGAGTGAATGAATCAGAAACAGTACACATACTTCAAACCAATGACGAATGAATAATTGAATGAATGAGTGCCTGCAGGAGCCCAAAGCAGTTAGTGTAATGGCTCTGGTCACAGGCCTGCAGCTACAGAGTCCAGGTTTGAACCTGGGCAGGATTCACAGGTCCCCTGACCCCGAGGGCGTGCTCTCAGCCTTGTCCAGGGCTCCCCATCTGCCCACACCCTGGAACAGCTTACCATGCCAAGCAGGAAGAGAGGAGCCAAGGAGGAGTTCGGGAGGACAGCGAAGGCCTGGGCCTCCAGGACCGGGGTGCAGGCAAGACCAGCGGGGGACACAGTGAGGTGCGGTGGAGAAGAGACTCTGACGAGGAACTGCATGCTCATGTTGGGGAACATCTTGGCCAACTGCAGCCCCCGGTGGGGACAACCAACAAAAGGGACACTTTTACTTAAATGTTTCTAAATCCTGTCTTGTCCTGCCCTGCATAAACACCTCCAATGTCTTCCCATTGCATTTTGACTAAACCCTGAGACCGCATGATCTGGCAGCTGAAAC